CAGGAAGGGATTCTACAAGCACATAGCAAATAAAAAACAGTCTAGGGAGAATGTAGGCCCCCTCAGGAAGCTCTCAGGAGAGCTGGCTACGCAGGATTTGGAGAAGGCTGAGGTTCTAAATGACTTCTTTGCCTCGCTCTTCACTGGCAAAGGCTCTGACCAAACCACCAGAGTCTTGGAAGGCAGATGCAGGGACTGTGAGAATGAAGACCTTGGGCCCACTGTAGGAGATCTGGTTCAAGACCATCTTAAGAACCTGAACATACACAAGTCCACGGAACCTGATGAAATCCATCCGTGGGTCCTGAAGGAGCTGGCGAATGAAGTTGCGAAGCCGCTGGTCATCATATTTGAGAAATCATGGCAGTCAGGTGGAGTTCCTGATGACTGGAAAACGGGAAATATAACCCCCATTTTCAAGAGGGGGAAAATGGATGACCTGGGGAATTACAGACCAGTCAGTTTCACCTCTGTGCCTAGCAAAATCTTGGAGCAGATTCTTCTGGAAGGCATGCTAAGGCACATGAAAAACAACAAGGTGCTTGGTGACAGCCAGCATGGCTTCACTAAGGGGAAATCCTGCCTGACCAATTTGGTGGCCTTCTATGATGGGGCTACAGAACTGATGGACAGGGGTAGAGCAGTTGATGTCATCTACCTGGACTTGTGTAAAGCGTTCGACACTGTCCCACATGACATCCTTGTCTCTAAATTGGAGAGACATCAATTTGATGGATGGACCACTCGGTGGATAAAGAACTGGCTGGATGGCCACACACAAAGAGTTGTGGTCAATGGCTCAGTGTCCAGCTGGAGACCAGTAACGAGTGGTGTTCCTTGGGGATCGGTGTTGGGACCGGTCTTGTTCAACATCTTTGTCAGCGAGATGGACAGTGGGATTGAGTGTGCCTTCAGCAAGTTTGCCTATCACACCAAGCTGTGTGGTTCGGTTGATACGCTGGAGGGAAGGAATGCCATCCAGAGGCACCTGGACATGCTTGTGAGGTGGGCTGATGCCAACCTCATGAAGTTTAACCATGCCAAGTGCAAGGTCCTGCACCTGGGTCAGAGCAATCCCAGGCACAGCTACAGGTTGGGCAGAGAAGAGATTCAGAGCAGCCCTGTGGAGAAGGACTTGGGGGTGTTGGTTGATGAGAAAATTAACATGGTCCGGCAGTGTGCACTTGCAGCCCAGAAAGCCAACCGTATCCTGGGCTGCATCAAGAGGAGCGTGACCAGCAGGTCAAAGGAGGTGATCCTGCCCCTCTACTCTGCTCTTGTGAGACCTCACCTGGAGTATTGTGTGCAGTTCTGGTGTCCTCAACATAAAAAGGACATGGAACTGTTGGAACAAGTCCAGAGAAGGGCCATGAGGATGATCAGGGGACTGGAGCACCTCCTGTATGAAGACAGGCTGAGAAAGTTGGGGCTGTTCAGCCTGGAGAAGAGAAGGCTGCGTGGAGACCTCATAGCAGCCATCCAGTATCTGAAGGGGGCCTATAGGGATGCTGGGGAGGGACTCAGAGACTCTTCATTAGGGACTGTAGTGATAGGACAAGAGGTAATGGGTTAAAACTTAAACAGGAGAAGTTTAGATTCTTTCCTGTTAGGGTGGTGAGGCACTGGAATAGGTTGCCCAGGGAGGTTGTGAGTGCTCCATCCCTGGCAGTGTTCAAGACCAGGTTGGATGAGGCCTTGGGTGACGTGGTTTAGTGTGAGGTGTCCCTGGCCATGGCAGGGGGGTTGGAACTAGATGATCTTAAGGTCCTTTCCAACCCTAATTATTCTATGATTCTATGATTCTATGGGGGGTCTGTTGCTGTCTATCTGACAGATAAGTAATTTTTTTCCCGTGCCTCCGTTTACCATCCCTCCTTTTTAATCCTCAGTTATTTAGCTTACAAGGTCTTCAGAACACACACAGTTCATAACCATGTGTCAGTAAAGTGCCTGGGACACTAAAACGACGATTTTTGTAAAGCTGAGAGGGTAACACAGCTTCAGAATATATCAGGAAAGGAGACGGCTAAACTAAGCTGCAGCCTGACAATAAAGACAATTGTGCTTTTCACAAGAAAATTTGCCTTTTACGAGAACTGTGCCTTACAGGCTGAAAATATAAACCTCCTTTATATAATATATATGCCATTACCATTTTTGTGAACACATCTGGTCAATGTTGATGTGTATCTTTTCTTTTGTTATAGATTAAAATATTTTTGAGTGATCTCTTCTGACCCACCATTGCCCCTCTTTGTTTACCATTCAGTTCTGTCAGCCCCTTCAAAATGTAGTGCTCCCCTGTACTGCCATTCAGTTGAAAAATACATGCATATTGTTTAACCCAAGTTGTCTCCAGCAGCTAGTTGCTTTCTGGAGAGTATCCAGATGTTGCTTGAAAAGAGATGACTGGGAAAGAAATAAACAATTTCACTTGATGAATTGGCAGGCATATCTTTTGCCTCAGCCGTCTTCCACTTCGAAGATCTTTTTCAAATGCAATAATTGTGCTTGAGACTTAAGTAGGTTTGTTTTTTTTTTCATCCATAAAACACAAAGCTTTGTGTAAAGTTGGTAAAACATAATTATTTCAGGCGAACAGAAGTGGAAAAAAGCCTTTGACTTAAACTCAGTAAAAAGGCAGAGAGAAACTCAGGTAGTCTGGAGTATTTGGCCTCCTTCAAATATCAGCAAGATTCCTTTCTGCGTTAGCCATCCTTTCTGCAAAAACCAGAGAAGGTTTCTGCTCAGAGTGCAAAAACATGCCTAAAATGTAAACCTATCTATATGACTCTGGGCTACCAGGTGAGCACCAACACTTTCCCACTGTAAGAGCAGTAAATGTGAGAAAAATAAATGGCTAGTTCATCTTTGCAAGGAAGGTGCTGCAGCACCACTGAGAACTCAAGGAGCTTGGTATTCCTGAAGTGTTTCTGCACGATTATTTTTTAGGTTCCCTCTTCAGTTACATAAAAACATATGCTTTCCTATTTACAACTTTAAAATAGGCTGAGATAAAAAAAAATACTCCCACTGCAAATGGTGCGGCACTGACGTCTACTACTGGTGCACTGATGTCTTTACCACCAAAGCCAGCGAGATGCTGCCTCAATCTGCCGTAAAATGTCTGTAATCTCGGATCTATAAAGTATAGCATTGTGCAAGGAAATGAACCCAAAGAAGTGTCTGTTTGGCAATCAGAACTTGGAGATTGTCCCTTAAAGTGTCAGTAGCTCTCTGGATTTTCCTAGTATTCCCAGTGGATATTTTGTGTTGGAAGAAATAAATGCCTCAGATAAGCCTGAAGGCACCTGTTGGAAGGTGGCCCTAAATGTGGGACTGTCAATAGTGGAGATTAGTCTATGCTGGTGGCAGATGTTTTACGCTTAATAGTGACTGGAAGGAAAATTTCCAACCCAGGAACTGTCAAGCACAAGATGTCTGCAATGTATTAACAGCTTTAGAAATAAAATACTAGGTTGTGATTGAAGCTTGCTTTATGTGAAGTTTCTCATCAAAATAATTTTGAGGAAGAACTGTTTTCCTTTTTTAACACCTGTTTTTGACATTTCTGAAATGGAAAAGCTTTTTGTTGTTGTCATAATGACTTTACTATGAAATTTAGATGTAGGCAGGGAAGGAAAAAAGTTATAACGAATACATTTGAGCGATTCCTGCGAAGAGCTCTTGCACATGAAATAAAAATGTACATCTTAGTACCTCTCAACCTTTCCATGTCATAAACAAATGTGGAAATGGAAAGGGCAAATTCTCAGCTGTGCGCTGGGATTAAAACAAGCAGCAAAGCCCATCTCCTCTTGGCTCCACCCTGTGCCCTCCCCTTCCCCAGCACCTCCATGACTGTAAAGATTTTAAGCTTCAACCAGTTTCCCATACCAAATGCCGGACCTGAAACCAGCATGATGCTGAGGACTCAAGGAATCTTTCCTTTCGGTGGGTGATGATGTTGAGGGAGTGGTGCCTGTTTGCGTCCATGCGGAAGTTTGGACAGCCATGCAAAGACCCTGGTGGAGATGAACTGGTGGGCAGAGAGCAGGTGATGAGGTTAAAAGTGCATGATGGCTGCAGTTTATCACTCAGATATCAGTAATGCGGACATGCCTATGTGTGTTTAGATTCCAGGCACACGTGTCTGAATATGCCTGTCTAAATCAAGTGGCTGCTCAAAACCTTTATCAAGTGTCCTTGGCCAGAAACCCTGAAGCCTCCCGCATTTACCCTCAACAGGCATTGAGAGCTGCTGCAGTGGGTTGCAAAGTGTTGTACTTAAGAAATGAAGTCTGGAGAGAAATGAGTCTTCTATGTGATTATTTCATACTTCTTGGCTCCTCTGATTCAGTCTAGCGGTGAACCTCTCCCTTCTCTCCCCCTTCCCGCTAGCCCCATGAGGCCTCCCTGACCTTACAATCCACCCACGGTTTCCATGTTACTGTCAGACTCTTTACACTTGACTGATGAGAAATATGTGATTATTCAACACATCATAAAAACGGCCAGAGCAAATGAAGGAGAAATCTGGAAAGTATTTATAGCAAATCTGTAAACAATCATTGCGATTCATCTATTCAAAGCTGTGCACACATTAGCTTATTAGCTGTAGAACTGTCAGATGTTCTTTCACCTTTTTTAACAATTAAGAACTGCTCTGTTATACTCCCAGCTATTTCATATTTCATAGACTTCTCTTTGAAGAAACAATTTATTTTTTGAGCTACAATAATTGAGAAGATATTTTTAGATTCTTTTTTCCTTATTACTACACATTTCATTGACTTTTCTTGCATGCTAAAAGGCTTGTTGAGGTGACTTCAAGCACATGCCTGCTGTATACAGCTCAACATCAGATTCAGATCAGTAGGAAGGAGGAGGTGAGAAAGAAGAAGCTGTGAAACTCTTCTGGGAAGCAACACAATGCAACGGTGGGAAGCGCGTTGCAGAGTCTCTCTTCCCTGCTAGAGGCAGGGGTGTTTCTTACTCACCATAGCGTGATTTAACCAGAGTGGGATGACTCCATCAAGGCTTTTGGGGTAAACCAGCTCTCGATTGTAGCTATACAGTGTCCAAAAGGATATAGACACAAACTGGAACCAAAACACAAAATGAAAGAAATTTCAAAAGGAAAGCCAAACGTAACTGATAAGTTTTGGCTAATGCTTTCATTTCTGAGGAGGCAAAACACCACCTACATGTAAAATGGTGATATTGCCAGATAAACTCATGTATCTCACATGTTACAACATAAAGAAAGGAATTTACTCTGAGGTGCAATGTTCTGTGGTGATACAGCAAGAAAAACCTCCTTTATAAACAGCCAAAACTGATATTTTCTGTGGAATACTGGAATAGCTTTAAACTTTTTTTCTTTTTTCTTTTCCTTTGCAGATGGGATCTTTTGATGGTCCAGAAGTTCTCCTCAAGGGATTGGCTGTCAAGCCAGAGCACTTTTTCTGCTCAGTAACAAAGTAAACCAGATCTTGGTAAAACAGTTCAAATAAAACTTACCCTTATCTTCACAGTTCACGTGCCTAATTCCTAAACTGCAGGTGTAAGCTGCACTGTGGGTACCTACTTCTTTCCCAACAGAGGAGGATTAACAGTGGGAGAATTTAACTACAGGAAATGAACCCTGGTATCAGTTACTGATACCTGGAAGCAGATTTGTACTTTTTTGGCCTTGCTTTGTATTTGAGCACACTTTGTGTTTGAGGTTGGAAATCGGGGATGTGAGATGCTAGAAGAAGGGGACTAGCCTGTGCTTGTCCTGAGGGCACAGTGAGGATGGCTGGTGGTGGTGCAGCAGCAGCAGCACGAATACTGCTATGCAGGGAAGATAAATTAGCCAGTAGCTCTGTAGTCCCTGGCAGGACATTTTAGTGAGCCAGCTGGCTGAGCTGCCTGTAGACCAGATTTAAGCAGTACTTCTCAGCCCTTTGAGATTCAGAGGTAGCTGCAGGCTTTACTCACACAGAGCATACCTATGCGTATAAGTAACCCATCAGTTCCTGTCCAACACACAGTGCCAGATAAACAGCATTTCGATAAACAGCATTGTCTGTGAGGGAGTGGGTGATCCATGGGGAATGCGAGGTAAGCTGTGACTCTAATTATTATACTTTGAATTTGTTTCTCTCCAGTGCTTATTTAAAGCCACAGTGGAGTCAGAGAAGGAGATGTGAGATTTTGCTGCCTCTTAGGTACCTTTCCATGTCTGCCTGGCCCACGCTGCCCTTTAGAGAAATGCCCTAAGCTGATAAATCCACAGCTATTTGGACTGTGAGATTAACGGAGGAGTTGCACCTCATTCACCCTTTGGGGTCAATCTATGTTAGCTTGGGGGCAGCAACCCTAAAGTTTGCGCAAGAAGCTTTGCATTCAACTCTGACAGGCTCAGCACGGTTTCTTCTTCTAAAAGGTCCAAAACCATTTTCAAATGGTAAAAAAAACCCAACTGTTCTTATCTATTGTATACATGTGTGTGTTATGCTTGTACACCGAATCATTTGTGCAGACATTATTTTTACTTACAGAAGTTACTTACTGTGGACAGTGGGAAAGCCAGGACACTGAAAAGAAGGTCTCTGCTGGAAATTACACACTTAGCACATCGCAGTTTCTTAATTAGTCTCAACATATCAGCCAGCAAGGACACCCCATAGAAGACAGCCTGCAAAACCTAAAGTAATTACACTTAATGAGGGAAACTCATCCAGCTTTCATTAGCATGTTCCTCAATGAACTCTGTTCTTGCTCTTCAGGGAGTTGTTTTGTTCGTGAGCTGCAAGCCCACGTGAGCAAAATAGCTGTTGGCTAAATCTTTTTTACTAACTGAAACTGATTAAATAAAGTTGTTGGGGAGATAACTTTAACACTATCTCACTTAATAGAGTAAACAGAGATGTGTGATTTGATTCAGATAGCAGAGGTGGAAGGACATGTTGAAAGCCAGCTCCTTCACACTTTCTAGTAATTGTTACATTCAATGTGTGTGGGCAAGAGCAGGAAAGAACAAAATATGCCAGGAAAGCATAATTCTGTAAAGCAATTGCTAGATAGTTTCTCCCACCATTTTGCCAACACAGGGCTTTCTTTCCAGGGACTCATGGTGCAATTGATCTCAGTGTGAAGTAGCTAAAAATGCTCTAACATGAGAATTAGGTGCAAAAGTTATCAAAACCAGAACTTCTTTTGCTGAACTCAGAGGCCTTTCAGGGAAGGATTTCAAGCTCTTAGAAGCAGAGATCTGGACTTCACTAACTAATACTGAGTAGGTTAAAGTATTTATAAATAATGAATTTGGAGATGGAGGGTTGGGGGGGAGTTGTCTTTTGGTTTTGGTTCTTTCTTTCTTTAAATCATTTACAAGTAATGAGGTGGGCTTGTTTGGGAGGGTGCTGGGAGGATTTGGTTAAGAATTAGGTAAGTGCACAGTGACAAAATAGAATTCCACAAATTGTGTGTGAAATTGTCACAGTATTGTGGTTTAAGCCAATATTGCTTTACCAATTACTTTGTTTTCTGTCCTAATGCTACACAGGAGATCAAGCTGAACCAGGTTTCAGACACACACAGGCAAAGCCTTGCAGAAAACTACTTCTTCCACAACCTTGCATTCAGCACTGAATCTAGTTCAGTTCTGTTAACTTACAGGATGGACTCTTTCAGTCTATGTTCTCCCAGAGTGATGCAATATGGGAAATGCAGCTTACTGCAAACGCTGGACCAGCTAGCAATGCTTAAATGGAAAGAGGCTGTGTCACAGCTTTCAGGATGAGATCTCTTTTGCCATGATCTTACTCTGAATCAGATATTTATTTAGAGCAGTGACTGAAGATGTGGCTGGTTACTTCAGCAGTTCCTGAAGGAGGCAAGAAGGGTGGTGCTTGAGAGGGGACAGAATTAATGCAATGATTTTCCATCAGAAATTACTTTATTATCAAAATATCTCGGGGAAGGAGGGGACTGTGATTTCACCATTCCCATTGTCAAACAAGGGTTTCTGTAAGCTTTAGTTTACAGAGACTAGGTCTTCCTGCGGAGCAAAGTGACCGTAGTTTGCATAACCAAAGTATCCTTGCAGCTATCTGTAACCATCCCCATCCATTTTGTTGCTTCCCAGCAAAAGGAAAAGATACATCCTTCTTTATCCATCCCTTACACAGTTCTGATGGTGCCCACAGTAGACTGCAGCGTGTCCCCCATCTCTGCACAGACCCACAGAGGTGGAGGTGCTGACGCAGGCTGGGTGACTGGCCCAGGGTCTCCCAGGATAAGGTATTGGAGATCATGCACCACTCAGTTCAGCTGCAAAGCCTTGTGTTTCCTCTCAAGAGCATGGGGTGAACAGCCACATTTTTACATTAAAAAAAAAAAAACCAAGCAGTTTCATCAGAACCCACATATGGTTTAGTTCAATTCTGAGGCACCCAAACCAGCTCTTTTAAATGTGGTTTTCTCTCTCCCCATTATCACAATTAGCCTCTGTAGCTGCAGACACAATTTCAGCCCACAGAGATTCAGCCCTCCAAGTCACGAATCTAGTTCAGAAAAGTCCATACTGAGGCACAGTGTACTTAGACCCAAACACATGTCCAACCCAAACATCTGTCCCAGTCCTTAGCCTCACCAAGACACCAGAACCAAGCTCCTGAAGAGCTAAGAAAAGCCTGGTAACAAGCAGACACTCTTATTACACCCTGTAGAGTCAGCAGTAACTTTCTGTGAAAGCATGAAAAATGAACATGAGGGTAGTGACAGACTGGTGACACATGGTGACTAATTGCCAATAAAGCAATTAGGGGGAGGCCTGGTTCCCAGAGGATGGGGCTATTATTATCTTGTTCATGGTCAGCCTTACATTAATCATGGGACAGGGATAGGCTGCTTCTTCCCCCTCCTTCAAAACTGACTAAAACAAACATTGCTGAAAAGAAACAGTCCCAAAATAGCCACATTCTCAGTCTGGTAAATATTCTGTCATATGCAGGGAAAGATAATTTTATCGTCCATATGGAAACTGCTTATCAGAATGTGTAACCTGACCCATTTCTCTGACAGGACATGGAGAACAGCTCCTGAAGAAGTTTGAACTCAGTCTCAGGAGCTTGTTTTGGCACTGCTCACAGTTCTACCCTTGTCCATTTCTGTGAGTCCGTAGGGGGTTCGGTCAGTTTGTGGTCACCCTGTACTTCCAGGAGCAATGGAAGTGTATACAAGTAATTTTCAAGCCAGGAAACCTGAACCTAGTTAGAACCATCCCTAGTAACACTCAGTCTGGCAGGGTACATTGCTCGTAGACTAGAATCAGAGGTCCAAACCTGTGCTTTTCCAGGCTTATTCCTGTAAGAAAGGTGCATCCAAATCTCACAGCCCTTCATTAGTGAGAAAATGTTGACTTTTTTTAAAAAAAAAAGACATGAAAACATCAAATTATTCCAGATGTCCTGTGGATTTCCCAAACAGCAGTGCTGGCGCTCATAAATCCATTGCAGCCGCTTGTGGAATATAAATCCACTGGCTGTAAATAAAGAGCATCCCACAAAGTATTCCCACACGAACAGAAGGAAGACTGGAAGCATTCAGAAAGCTAATGATTACTCCAAAGAGGACAACATGGATATGCTAATCCCTGTTGGAGAGATGCTGCTTTCCTCAAGACCCTGCAGAGCTCCATGGCACTAGGTGCTGTAGAAACACTTAATTTGGCCAGATCGATTTTCCAAACTGAGAGTCATTGTGACAAAGACAAACTCAATTTTTATCCGCTGCAGTGATCAAAAGGGTGTTTCTGTTTAACCGACCTGACATGATTTACTTTCCTATATAAGATCTAGTCATATGTGTACATTGAAATTTCCAACTAGTACAAATAAATTGAAGCTCTGCCCGTAAGGGGGGATAAATCCAATAGTATGAGTAGGCTATTAGATATAACAGTTAACATTGAATATAAACAGACACACATCCATTCACATGATAGTGACCTGGAAAATATGCATGCTAAATACTGTGTCTATTTTGAAATAAAATAAACCCTGCTTTTAGGAGAATTGAAAAGTATTTCAATTATGAGACAAAAATGTAAGACATAAAATAGGGCAGGAATGCAATTAATAGTTTTTAAAGGTGCAGTGTGCTCATTATACAATGATTTGCTAATAGATTTATGGCACTGAGCAGATTTTTATAAACTTGGATATTTCAGGCAACGAATGATTCAGCTTGTCCTGTTTTGTGTCACAGACAAATGAATACAGAACTGTTTTTATCTGTCATTTCTGCTTGTTCAATAATCAGTCAATGAACTCCTTTGATACAAAACCCACTTATCTATTTTTTTTGCCCTACAAAAATATTTCCTTTCTAAATCTTGATTGCTGTGTTCATTAACTAGATAAATGAATCTGAACGTCAGAGCTGTAGCTCTCTTGGGAGAGCCACATGACTACTGAGGAATTGAATGAGGTGCTAAAAGAGGGTCATGTCTATCAAATTCTTTCAGCATCCCTCCAGCAGAGCTAGGAGTCAAGCTGAATTTCCACCACTGGAAAATGCCACGTTTCCCAGTATTTCCATTTTAGATCAGAGTGAGCTGACCACAGCAGCTTTCCACAGAAGGAAATTTTTAAATGCAATTCCAAAGAACTAAGAGGAATTCTGGGGGGGAAATTTCCAAGCAACTCATCCAGCCAGTGCCAGAAGCCAGGCAATCACAGTCTGGCAGGAGACAGGCAGAGAAACTGGACAACGGCTCTGCATGCCTGGCTCTAGGAAAGCCCAGCGTGGCAGCTCAACTGAACCAGCACAGACCAGCAGGAAGCTTTTGCCCGCTCTTCTTCCCCAGGGCGGTATCTCCCATCATCCCAAGGCACCTCCTGGGACTAGGCACTTCCTAAGGTGCAGAAATGTCAAGCATCAGGTGTGCACCTTATGGTCATCTGTGGTTGACAGCCACCAGGTTCCTTCATGTCTCTCAGCAGCAGCAAGAAGTGTTTTAATACCAAACCATAGGGCAATTCTTCTAGGTCTTGTGGAGCTCCACTTCTCTTCCTTTTCCTCTTTTACACACCTGCTCAGGAAACTTTTATCACCTGGAGATACCAACAATCACTGTTCAGATCAGCAGCAGAAGAGGGAATAATGGCATTTCTCTCCCTGGGCCCCTTTCCTTACTGTCAATTCTTTCTTGAAAAAAACCCACATCTCTATAGAAGAAGCACTACAGCCATGGAAGAGTAATTTTGCCCACCCTGCCCCATTGCTACATTTTCTGCATGAGAGATATACAACATCTTCAGCCTAAACCATCTCCCTCCCCCTTGCCTGACAGCTCTGTTTTAGTGTTGGGATCAGATCAGTAAGTGGTTAAAAGATAGGAGACAAAGAACTGGAGAAGTGGAGCAAGGGCCCCTGCTCACAGAGTTTTAATGAGACCTGAGCCGTTCAGCAGATCCATAAATGAGCTGGGGAAGAGAGCAAACACTGAGGGGGTAAAGCTTTGTAAATCTTTTTTTTTTTTTTTTCCTTCTGTCAAAGCAAAGCCTGACTGCAAAATTGCCAAAGAATTTCACAATACCGAGTGCCTGAGAGACCAAATAGCAGGTAAAAATCAGTGCTGGTGAATGCAATGTAATGTATTTCAGGGGAAGGAAAAAAAAAACCATAACAAAACAACAACAAAAAAAGCAGCTTGAATTATATTTTGTCAACAGTGGATTTTAAATTAGCTATCACCATCCAGGAAAGAACTGTTTGACCCACTGTGGATAGCTCTCCCAAATTGCCTTGCTCATCAGTAATCAAAAAACCCAAATACAGAATTAAGAATTGTTAAGAAGAAATAAACAGATAAGGAAGAACCTTTGGGCCACTGTATAAATCCATGCTGTTCTCATAGCTCAACCACTGCAGCCTGCCCTACTTACCCCTTCCTGAAACTAGAAAAACTACTGCAAAAGACAACAAGGATGCTTTAATAAAAGAAGCAGCCCTTTGTGAAGATGGATGAAAAAGGCTCGGACTTCCAGCTTGCAGAAAAGAATAACCGAGGGAAAAATCTGGCAGAGATCTCTAATGAGTGGCAAAGAAAAAGTGAACAGGGACAGATGATTAGATTGTACTACAGAAGTGAAGAGGAATCCAATTCAGTTGTCAGGAAGCAGGTTTACACCAACAAAATGAACAGCTCTTTCACACAAGGCACACTTGCCTCAGAACAGGGAAGGTACCAGAAGTATAAACAGGTATGTTTTTCCTTCAGATAGATGAAAAGAAGGCTTTGAACGGGTATTAGCTGCCTTGGCCTGGATTTATTTTCGGCTGGGTAATTTGGTACACCAGTGTGAAGTCAGAGCCATGGAGGGTTCATTTTACTCTTATACATGTTCTTGTGCAGCCTTTCACTGATCATCCTTAGTGATGGTCACTAAGGGAAGATGGATAGTAATTTCTCAAAATACTAGGAGGTGGGTTACTTGCTTTCTGCTCCTGATCTCATGCTTTAAAGCTGTGTCATATACTGAGTGATCGATCTCATTATAATGCTGCCAGGAGATGGAGATACTGTTTTGCCTGAAAGAATGGATGATATTCTAATGGGGCCAGGAGAGGAAATGGGTACAAAGCCCTTGGCTGGTGGTGTTCTGGGCTACTGACATATGTCCCAGCAGGATGAACTGAATATCTTTAAGGTTGTTGGATCCTGACTATTTGATTGCTGGCTTTTCAGAAAAAAAAATTTTTAAAGCATTGCAAAAAGCCTAGGTTTACTGATACAAAGACAACATAACAACAACCCATAAGTATGCCATCCTGACTGCTGTGACATATGTACCCTCACCCTTCCACAGCCAGCTTGGTCACTGGGAAGGGCTCTGTGCCTCCCTGAAGCCTGTTGTAGCCAACTCATGTGCCATTCACTGCCTCTTGGTTCCAAGTATTTCAGAGTCACAGAATGGTTGACGTTGGAAGGGACCTAAATTTTGTAACACCCTGGAGCTCTCCAAAGGTGCCACTTGGAGCTGGGGAGCCTTTAGGCTTCCATTGAACTCTACCATGGAGTATCTTCTTCTGGAGAGTAAAAGCTGAGACAAGCACACCCTGGGACAGACCTCCCACAGATATTTAACTCTGACAGTAATGAGGAAGGGACAAAAGTCTAGTCATCCTTCAGATTAGCAAGTGTCCCTGAAATTTGCGCCTCCTAGCAGCCCTCTCCACACACCCAATCTTTCCACCCCACTGACACCATTGCCACAAATCACTTATGAACCACATGCACTGTGAACAAGCTTCCCACAGGGTATCTCACGTGCTTTCATTTTGATTTCTGTCTTATGAAACATAAGCATATCAGGAGAATCAGAATACATTATGGTCTGTGTCTTCCTGTATACTTTTTGGAAATGCAGCAAGCAGTTAAAACACTAGCACTGTTAAAACACACGTAGTAATGCCACAAGTACCTCTCTCTACAGGCTGTAATTTCTTTCCCTTGTGCTCTCAACTGGTTGTCAAACTATGCATGTACTCTGAATGGCTAAATCAGCACTGTACTATGCTTTGTTTTACCTTTTCTGTAATTAGAAGGACATAAAAGGCTATTAAAAATTTGACGTAAAATTCCAAGCAGCATTATAATGTGTATTGATTTAAGGGTTAGATAACGTGCATCAAACCTGCATGTCTCGTGGCTGGACATACCCTGCCTTTCTGTACCTCTCTTCACTAATAGCTTGTCTCTTTCACAAGGAGGCAGCTAGCTTCAGAGTACTTTCTGAAAGCCAAGAAGCTCACCAGCCAAGATTCTTTCTGCATAAAACCTGTGAATACACTTCACAGCACAAGCATGGATCCCTATGTAGTTTCCTTTGGGGTATAAACCATTAAAGGAAGCAGTTTAACAGCAGCAAATATACCAGCTGCATATGTCTTGAGGCACAGATGGCAGACAAACAAATAGACATATTGGTATCACTGTACAACACAATTTGCTTACCAGATTGAGGACTGTCAAATATTTCCACTGCCCACCATAAAAGAACACTTCAGATGGCCGCTCTTCTGTTCTTATGTTTGTGATTGAATAGGCAATGAAAGAATACCAGACAAAAGCAAGGCAATGGTACATTGCAAGAGTAGAGATTTCCATGCTTTAGCTAAGAGCAAGTGATAATCAGTCTAAAAGCAGCTTTTCTCTTAAGGTCCTCAGTCACTGTTCATGGGAAATGGCAGGACAGGAGGGTTTACTTCAGAGCTGGCTCAGAACACGTTGCCACTTTGCTCTCGTTGAAAGGAATAATCACAAGGCTGTGAACTTTGCTTCTGTTTGTTTCCCTTTTCACTGTACAGACAGGCTGGGGGAGCAAGGGGGGAGAAGAAGCGGCTTATTCACCAGATTTAAATGCCTTCTCAAGATTAGCAAAGATTAGTTGCAGAGTTACATAAGTTTTGGGTTGTTTTTTTTTTGTCAAAAGTATGGCCAGCTTTGCTGCTGGTTTTGTGTAACAGGCTGTCATGCTTTGGGTAGCAAGTGAGAAAAAGTGTCATTTTCCCCACTCGTATCTGTGGGTGCAGCCATGTCTCCAGCTCAGCTTCTGAAGCCTCTGTGACTGTTTTTCCCTTGTGCCAAAGGAAGAAATGGGAAACAACGGTCTGTGAGAGAAAAAAACAAGTTGATTTGTTGATAGGCTACGAAGGTGGCTAGGAAGTTGAGCGTATTCGTAGGCAAAGGCCCTCTGGATTGAAAATCACTGCAGCTGTTGGATATTTTTTTTTTTTTTTTTTATGGCATAGGTCCTGCTGCCTTTATGCTGCTCCATGGAGCTCGGATCCTTCACAACTGTGCACGCCACATTGGCTAAACCCTGAGTTGCTTCAAAGCTCTGGCAGGGATGGAGACACAGGACAAAAGCCTTGTGTGACAAAGCGTAAGCACTGAGCAGAATATCTCCCGTATCTGCTTCTTTGCTTGCTGCCAAGCACCTTTGACAGCCCCTCTTCCCTGATGTGACATTGTCCCACCATCAGGGCAGGGGTAAAGAAAAGAACCAATATGCACACAATGACACTAAAATGAAGCAGTCAGAAAAGTTCCCATGGAAATTCTCATTTTTCCCTACCCTCCTGCCTCACCAAATAGCCTTAATTAGCGCTGGAAAACACACATGGCATTCCTTATTTGGGCTGGAGTCTGTAATTGCAGTGCTGTCAGCAGTAATGGATGCCTGAGTGTTTCACAGGGGCCTCAGTGGGAAGCAGGTACCATGCCCAAGCCAGTGCCTGGACTTTCCCCATGGAGAATGGGGAGAGGAACTGCTCTTCTTGCCCCTGCAAAGGCTGTCCCCATGGGCAGGGCTAGGCTTTGGACAAGCAGACTGCCTTAAGGGATCTCAGGTTTTTTGTCCTTCTAACTGGCCTGCAGGCCACATTGGGCAATCTGCTGTGTTTTGATTTGGTTTTCCTCTTGCACTTTATTTCCCGCCTGGTACCAGACATAAGGCTTCATGTGGGATGACTTCCTATGAACTCAAACAGCAATGTACATGCATGTTGGGAAACAGCCCTTACAATAAGGCACTTCAATAGTCTCCTGTGTTTCATTGAGTTCTCCTCTAATTCACATTACCCGCATCCAGATTCTCCAGGCATTCCAGCCATCACAATCCCAATGAAATATTTCTGCCTCACTTAGGGAAAATAAAGATGTAGATCCTTTTGTGCCTTTTGCGGTTGGCTGAGGTTGGAGGAGAAAACCCCTTGCCAGAAAAAAAGTTTTTTTGATTCTGACAATGTCATCAGGCTTTTCCTAAGAAAAGGGTTTTCTGGGGAAGTGCTGAGGCAGTGCTGTCATGAGCTGCTTACTTTGCTCCTCCTTGTCAAGACTCATCCCTGTGACTTAAGGTAGAAAGAGAATAGGACTATGACATGGAAGGACCTTTTTTATTAGTGATTTGCATATCAAAGGCACCAGGCAATCAGCACTTTTTCTGAGGCTTTGCTATAGTACAACTTTAAAAATGGGAAGGCATGTGCTTCTGCTTGGGAGGTGCCCAAATGCATGCAAATGAATGTAAATGTATGCAAAATGGCAAGGTATGTTTTTAATTTTCTGGAGGATCTTGGCCAGTATGGCTGGGAAGGTGTCAAGTACGGTGACAGTTTTCTGATGCGGACACCTGTCCCACAGACTGAGACCATCTGCTTTGTTTTCCCATATACAAGAAGCAAGATATATACCCTTCAGGCTAGAAAAGGGATTAAACTTGGATGCAGAAACATCGCAAAGAAAGGATGAGTGCCAGATAGGATCTAAAGTCCAACACACCACACTTCATGGAGTCTTTCTTATTTCACTGCCAGTGTGATGCAGTGAGTGAATACACTGGAAAGGTCAGATCTTACACAGTCTCTCCATCTACTGAAGGTTTAATGGAATAAGAAATTCAGCCCAAAACTTTTTTGCAGGGAGTGGAGAGAAGGAAGAAAGAAGGAGCACATCAGGTACAGCCAGATGTGCTGCTTCAGATCTAGCAGGATGGCTTAGGGAAATCTTCCATCTGCTTGGTACCAGACCCCAGTTCACATCTGCTGCTTCCCTGGAGCTGTGCCACATTTATGCACCCTGCCAATGCTTCCACTCTGCTTCAGGGGCTCATCTGATTCAAGCAGCAATAGCTGACTTTGTACCGAAGCAAACTGAGAGCTCCCAGTTTGTCCAGTAACATGGTTCACTGAAGAATGGTGACAATTAGCTGCAGCTGTAAATCACCTTATATACAAATATCCTCCACTCATGGCCTCTTGTATTATTCATATTCAGGTACAGAGATGACAGCAAACAGCATAAACTGGTAGCATTTTAGACCACCATTGTCTGTTTGCAACATGACTGTGTGTCTCCACTGATGGGCATGGTATTTCCAAGCTATGAAACAGTCTCCTGTACGTCCATCATTACCATACAGTGTTTAGTTACTACCTCAGCCTGTTGCTAACGGGGCAGCTGGTAGAAACACATATTTGTGCTTCCTCTAGGGCTGACAATTCATTTAGAGACCAGTCAGGCACCTTTCAAATACTGTTCAATATTTTTGCACTGGCAAAAATTTCCCCTCTGACAGGGTAGCATTCAATGATGACAAAACAGGCAAGAGCAAGGCAGGAAATTACTGGCAGGTGACAGCAGTTTGAGCCAGGTGGGAGGAAAAGATTCAAAGCCAAGCAAAGCCCTCAGAAAGTATTGGAGACCTAAAAAGTAAAACTGGATTTTTATATTTAGATGCTTTTTCTTGGCACAATCTAAGAAGAAGGGCCTGATACGCAACTGGAACTTGTCTCTGTCAGGGGATTTTACAGGGTAAAGAAAACACAAGGAGTTGGATGAGTAAATTTTTGTTCTAGTTTTCTGACACTTGTTTCTATCGTCAATGCAGTTCTATTCCCTCGTGTGTGGGTTTCATAATTTATTTATTTTTAATTTACTGCTGTTGTAAGCTGGCTTGCATTAAGGGCAGCATTCCTTGAAAGTGGGGCCTAGGGCTGTTCTTGTTCAACATCCTCCATGTGTTATGTGAACGTGTCCAGAGTTAACAGGCTGTCTCTGCTACATTCTGATTTAGTTGCAGGTAATGCAGAAGTCTGCGTGGAAAAAGCATTTTCTGATAAGCATTAGTCAAGAAAGCTTTTCAGCATGTAACACAAGGCTGTCTGAGCTCTGTGTCCCCAAGGACATCTGTAATCATTCATTCTGTGATGGTTCTGATGTATGAAATGAAGCATAATTGACAAAATTGCAAACCTGACATAGTCTGCTCCAGGCATCCTCAAATCCTGAGGCAAACTCCCTCAAATCATGTGGTTAGTGTAATTCACAAGATTTAATTCTCTCTGGTTTTATTTGTCTTGGGCTTTAGCAGCTTCTGGGGGTCTGAGTTTTCCAACTCTTCTTCACAGCTGTGTGAGCGACAAGTATAAAAGCGTTTTAACTACTTAACTACTAATAAAATCCCAGCGATGAGCAGTGATAGTCACAACTTATGAAGACCAACAAAAATATCCTGAGATATTGCATTAAAAATCTCTGAATGGGCAATGCTGCAACAGCTACCTGCTGTGTATGGCAAGCAGGAAAGTTATACAGTTGAAAGACAGCTTCTGCAGTCTCCTGCACGGGCCTCTCCCCTTTGCCTTGTGTGAGAATTTTCTTTTTTTAAATATATGTTTTTTAAGGAGAAGACAGCTTATATCATTTTCCTAAGTTTGCTCTGAACTGTTGTTAAAAAGTTTTTTCCAAAAATGCCAAAATCCAGATGGATTTTTCAATCGCAAAATGATGACTGGTGTACAAGAAGAAACTGGATTCACTAGTTCAAGTACTCATTCAGATTTTGGAGTTTCTCCCTCCCATTGAGTTCCACTGGCTTTTAAACTGTATGTTTATTCAGACTGCTAAATGCAATGTCACTTTGATCCAGAAACAAAGCTTTCTGTGTAACAATGATTTGACATTTCTGACTCTAAAATGAATGCAAATGATGACATGAATCAAAACAAAACCTTTTCAGCTAACAGCTTGGGTGCTTGAAGTAGGTATGCTGAAATTAAAAACCATTTGATTGGATAAATGCTTGCTTAGCTCATCATCTCCAACTTGTAGTGGAAATTAGTTTGCTATATCACCAAACCCCAATAGTGTCTTCTCTCTTGGCAAGATGAATATTTCTTAGAAATAAAAAGCATTATTCTCATGAATTCATAACAGTTTCTAAGAACTTTTATACTGTTTGAAGAGATGTAAAATTGAGAAGCAAAATTATATTTTTCCATTTTCTGTCAGAGTCGCAAAATTAATCTTTGACATCTTAGAAAAATTGCGCATAAAAACCCTGAAGTTCAGATTGAAACACACACTCATGCCACAGTGTGCTAGAGCATAAATGCCGTGGCAGTTTTTAGATATTTAACAGCGAAAGTATGGCTGGTTCTCATTAGATATCTTCTCAATATGTATATCAGTCTATGTATAATCATAAATAACTATTCCAAATTACAGTGGAATCACCCAATAGAAGAATCATCCAACATCACCCCACCAGTCAGTGCTTGCTGAAATGGTGTAGTTTATGTGCAAATCTATCTTAACAGATATTGTTACAAATTGGTATTAGATAATAAGTCCTATCTATTGCCTGTATTGATGTACTACCTAAATCTGTTATCCCAATCTTTGGTACTTAAATTGCAACAAATGTTGGGCAGAGGAAGGAAACTATTATCCCCACAGTGTGCATGGAGAAGTACAACACAAAGCAGTGAAATGGTGTGTCCAAGGTCATGTTGACAGCCTTGGAACTAATAACACCTAAAGCATGTTGAAGTAAAGGATGTAATTCTGCAAGAGATGTTGAAGAGGTAGTGTTTTGCACCC